TTTTCTGGAATTCCAATGACACGTAGATTATTCCTTTTGATGGTATCCCACATGAACCTTAGGCTTTCTTCATTTTGTTTTGATTTTTTTTTTCTAATTGATCCCTTTCCAAAGAAGTATTCAGGTATTTGTCTTCAATCTCATTAATTCTGTCTTCCATTTCATCAATTCTGCTCCTTTGCCCTTCCAATATGTTATCTATTTCTGACAATTGAGTATTAATTTTCTGGATTTCTATCTGTAGATTCAGAATCATGTCTAATTTTTCATTTATTTTGTCATTTTGTTCTTGTATTTTCTTCCAGGGCTTTTTCTGTGTTTTCTTTGGTCTGTCTCTCAATCCTTTGAAGGTACCCAAATATCATTCTTTTGAATTCCTTATCAGAGAGCTCCGATGCTGCTTCTTTCTCAGGGATGTATTCTGGATCTGTATTCTGTTCCCTTGTTTCTACATTTTACCTTGCTGCTTTGTGTGGACTGTGATGGTCTGTTTTCTCCAAGGCATCATGGCAATGTTGTATTAAGATCTCTGTTAACTGTTTGTGAAGAGCAGCCAAGGGTGATTCAGGCTCTTCTTGATAGTTTTTTGTCATTGGCTCATTGGTGGAGAAGGAGGTGGTGACTCTCGGTCAGTAAGTGAAGTTGTAGGAGGTGTGTGTGTAGTTGTGTCTTATGGGGACTGTTGCTGTCTCCCACTCAATTAGACAAAAATTACAACTGAATAATCATCAAAAAACTAAAAGCACATGGACAAAAAACACACCATGTAATCACACAGGAACAGTAAGCAAAAAAAGAAAAAAGGGAAAAAGAAAAAAAAAAGAAAGAAAACCTGCAATATCTGGGGATAGGGCAACAAGAGAAAAAAGGTAGAGAAGGAAAATAATGAAGAAAAAAATGGGAAAAATGCAAAAAGAAAAGCAAGGAACAGGGTTAACCATGAGAAAGAAAAAAAGAAAAATTGCAACCATGAACAAGGTAAAGAAAAAGAGCTGAAAACTAGGACCTGGGAGGGGAAGAATAAAGAATAATAGTAAAAAGGACAGATGTATTAATAATAATAGTAGTTTTAAAACAGATAAAAACAAGCAAACTAAAAACCAGAAAAAAAAGAGAAAAAGGAAAAGAAAAAAATCAGGGGATGGTAGGGCAGGGCACTCAGGCTCTGCCTGAGCACACAGACTGGGATGCAGTTCCTGCGGGCCCAGAGGTGGGTGGGGGTGGGGGATGGCTGCACCTCTGTTCACCAAGGGTGTGGGGTATAAGAGTAAGAAGGGGAATGCTCCACCTTTTCAGTCATCTGGGTCCAGAGTGTCCTTGGGGTTACTGGCAAGCAGAACCTGTTCTTAAGACCCTGGAATCTGGAAGAGTGCTGTCTCTTTAAATATTCAAAATGGTCAACCTGCTTGTAAACATTCAAAATGATGGCGCCTTCCAGACAGGCAAAAGTCCACAGCTCAGCCAGCCTTTCTTTTCACTGGTGCTTCATGTTTTATTCCCCAGCCACCAGAGCAGTCCTCCATGTAGTCCCTGGCTAGCAGGACTGATTTTTAGGTTAATTCTTAGGTCCTATCACCACTCGGCACTCTCCAAGCTGTCTATGCCATGCCGTCAGGCTTGCTCAGGATTGCTGCCAGACCGCAGAT